AGGCAAAACGAGGCCCATAGGCAAAACAACAAAGCCCTCCCGTTCCTGCAGTCCCGGAAAAGGGTTTTTTTTGCACGGCTACACAGAAACCTTAGGATGGATTTGTCCTGGGTTCGAACCATAGGCCGCACAAAGCCAAACATGTGCACGTGAATCACTCTTTCTTACTGCCTTGCCATGCGCTTATTTGAGGCTGCCCGTTTTCGCTTCAATCGGAAGCCAAACGGGAAAACCACAATTTATAGTTTTGTGTGCGGCATGCCCATCAAGGGGTTCTTCCCAGCATCCTTGCAATTGGAACCCACTTTTCAACCACCCCACAAAATGTGTGCCCTTGTGTTCCCCGCCCGAATTTGAGACCCTGTAAGAAGGTTCCTGGGTTAGCCGGGGCAGCTTGTTTAGTGTATATAAGCCTGGGTTTCTCTTCCCCCCGAGCAAAAGACCATTTTTGTATACATTCATGAAAAGCCCACGGCTTTTCGGAAAGGTCGAGGCTAGCCCCAAAGACCAGCCCTGGGGCGCTTCCATTTGGGGAGAGCCATGAAACGGGTATGCGTCAAAACTAAACCACCAGGAATTGGACTGCAGGTTTTAGTCCATGGTTCTGGTAATACCAGGGTTCCTCTTTGGGTACCAACTTTTGACCCGCAGCCACTTGATCCCAAAACTAGTTTTCCTTCATGCCCTGGCTTCTTCGTCCCAAATCGGACTTTTTGACCCGCAGCCAAATTGGTGGAGCGGTTACCACCCAGAGACGCCGCCCCCAAACGCCAGCTGCAGCCAACTGGCGCCCCCCGCCGCTGCCCCCTGCGAGCTCCCTCAGGTGGTCCGGCACCCGCTGGCCCGCCTTCTCCTTTGCGTGGGGCAGGAGGGAGATATATGTATATATATATATATATGTATGTATGCACGTATAACATATATATATATATGTATAACTAATATGTTGTGTTGTTGTTTGTGTGGGGTTCCAGGAATATATATATATATATACATATACATACATATATATATATATATATGTGGATACTCTAGTTCGGCGCTCGTTTCCACTTTTCTCAGGTGCTTCGGCTCCACTGACCTCGCTGGCTCAGGGAAAAGGTGTTCCCGCAATTCGCAAAAAGTCTCCTTTTGGGCCAGCCATGGATGTCACTGCGGCACCGCCTGCGCTTCAGCATGCTCCGTTTGCAGCCGTTACACCTGGCCATGGCCCCGATGGGGGTCTAGCTTGTGGATGTTGGAAGTCCTGCTCCTGCGGGAGCCGGATGCCAACGAGGCCTTGCAACATCTGCAACAGCTACTTCTGAACGAGCGTAGTCGTGGCTGTGCCTGGTTTGACTGCGACAACTTGCGCTGGACGCATACCATCTCTCGGTGGGCAGATCACATTTATGCCTCAGTTTGCACATTGACGAGGCGGTTAGCCACTCGTCGCATCTGCAAGAAGATCTGCAGGCGTATGGGGATCTTTCCAGCAACGCATGAAGAGGAGCGAAATGGGGAAGAATCCACATCACTTCTTTTGAACATGCTCTAAATTGAATTTTAAGCGAACGACGTTCTTTGGTTTAGTACACGCCAACAAAACCACCTCACCCGGGAGTCTTGAAAAACGCCACATGGACGGACACATTGCCGAATACCTTCTCCAGACAAAACAAGCACTAAGATGTCTCTGCCAACGCAGTGCTAAAGACACTTGTTTGCCGGGCTGGTGTTCAGACGCTTGCAGCAGCTTCTTGGCTTGCAAAAGATGGACCAAAAAGCGCCTTGGCTGTATAGATGCTACCCCCTTCCCAACACCTGCCCGCATTTGTTCTGTGGAGACTGCCGTTCAGCGAATTGAGACTCAAGGTTTCCCAAAAAGATGTATCGAGATAGTCGACTTCAAGCCACTTTGAGGTAAATGGGATTCAACCTTCCCCAGGCATCTTTCTCCCACGTCTTGAATCTTGAGTCTTATCCACTTGTAGGGAGCGGTTGGCAGCTCCAGCTCAAAAAGCACAACTTTTTGGTATAAGAGTAGTAGACAGCTCCGTGATCGTGCTTTTACCTTATGATTTTGCTAGGAAAAGCAGCAAACCTTGAGTTTCGAGAAAAGAGTTCATTCCCATCTAAATCGCTGCTTGAGATTGTCAACAAATGCTCCTCGTCCTACACAGTTCCACTTGCATTCTAATTCAACTCTGTTAAAAGAACAAGTGAAAGCAAATCCTATCGAATTTGTGTGTGGTTGTTTATCTGGTTTCTCTAGATTACAGTCAATAATACTCATTGAACATCAAATATGGGAAGAACACCCAATAAGAACGCTGCTTCAAGTTCAAACCAAACTCAGCTACAAGCAACTGCATTTCCCTTTGCATTTAAAGGACAACTATTGGAAATTGCAAGTTGAATTCAGACCAACTTCAAATTCAAAAGATTCGTTGCTTTTATCTAAGTTGTAACTAAGGACAAACTGAGCCAAGCCAATGGTTTTTGGGTTTGTGTTTTGTTTTTTTGTTTTTTGTGTTTTTGGCTGGTGTACCAAATGTTGGCCAGCATGTTCCGCCCTGCGCAACATCTTCACTGGACCAAAAAACAACAATAACAATTACAAAACTTGCCAGTCATGGTGGGCAGGATTGTTTTGTGTCTTTGTGTTTTTGGCTTTCCGGCTGCTTTGCCAAATGTTGGCCAGAATGTTGCGTCCACTGGACCAAAAAAAAATAAGAATCCGTAAAACAAAAAACTTATCCTACCCCGACCATGGCTGGTATGTGGGGAATGCTGCGCAACATTCCCAAAGAACGAATTAACACCAGGAATGCTACTTCTTGATGATTTCTAGTGGGGAGTAGGGCCAAATGCCAGAAATGCTATTAAGGCAGAATGCAGCTAAAACCTGAAAAACGTAAGTTTTGGGAGGGTACCATACAATAATATATATATATATGTTATGTATATATATAACATGTGTACATACATATATATATATATACTATGTATATATATATATACATCTGTAGTGTGTATGTGTACATCTGAAATATGTGTATGTGTACACACAATAGTTTATACAGGCAGCACTCATGGTTCGCCGTGCCCTCATACATTCAGCGGTGCGTTAAACACGGCGCTCTAAGGGGGTTTGCGCATTGGTAGCTCCATTCCTTTCAGCGCGTAAGTTCTATTCCCCGAGTCATGTCGGGAGATTTTTTCGCCAAGGGAGTCTTTGGGGTTTCTCGTAGGGTTCCTTGTCTATTCCTAAGCTTTCAGGGTGGTGGCTCTCAGCAAACGGTCTGCTCGGCCCTTCATACCGGCATGGGTGACCTTCAGAAGTCGGTTGCACCTCAATGGGACAAACCCCGGAGGCTCGGGTGAATTGATCCGACAAAACAGGAAGGCTCCGGCGACAAGGAAAAGAAAGATCCAAGAGACAGGGTCTGTCAGGAGATCTTGGTGAATCATGTTCAGTCTAGAGTCTAGACCATTGATCTCAGTGATCTCTTGATCAAAAAGTCGGACCCCCGAAGGAAAATCGTGAATGAACATGCTGCCAGCAAGCCGCCTTATGTCCTAGCCGTCTTGCTTGGGTGAGGACGAGGCTGCAAACTCCAAGATTTGAGATCCAAAATAACTGGGGGGCCTCCAAACACAAACACGTGTCGGAACCTCTAGAAGGAGTCATCAACAACTGGTAGCTTCTTTTCGAAGCCAGAAAAATAACAAGGGTGAACCTACCAATTCGGGAAAAGGCCCCGAATTCCCGCCAAGATTCCATGGAGCGCATCACCTGCACAAAGCCAACCAATCCGATGGAAGACCGATTCGACTGAAATCCCCAACCCGGCCAGGACTCCAAAACCCCAAAAAAGGCGTTCTGTGCCATGGTCTGACAGCATGTTCGGAGTCAGTTCTGAAAGCTAGTCGCCAGCACCAGAATGACATGCCTGCAGGCGAATGCAACGAATTGTTCAATGCCCATCCTCAACCGGCAAAGGTCAGACAAGCTGCTGCCGTCTGACTTAGGTCTCCCCAGCCACTCAGGCACCAAACCACCAACCCCTCACCCCCTTCTCACCCCGGCAAAAGGCATCTCGCGTAACATCTCCCAACAGCTTCTGCCAAGATCTCCCAACATCTCCCAACCATGATTCCCAAGCTGCAAACAAGGGAACCCCCTCAGTCAAGGACCTTCAGAATGGGTGAGCTCGTTTACGCCCCCCGTCCTCAGGTGAGCTCACTGTATGTTTCCAGATCTTTCCCCCACCAACTTCCAAACAATTGGCTAAACATGATCGAACAACTAGACCTTTGGCCCCCTTTCGAGGGAAGTCCAAAGCAAGTTG